CTGGTTTTGCGATTCACTAGATCCCTTGTTACGAGTCAAGTCTCTTTCTTTGGGTCCTGAGCCCCAAAAATAGGCGATCCGACCTGAAGAACTGCAGTCAACTGGGCAGAACGCACGGAGGGAACCCCTCTTGAGGTGCCCTAGCCAGCCGCATTCGTGAGTTTCTCCACCCTCAAACCGATCCATCCACCGGCTATGTCGCGGTGGCCCGCCGAGGGTCGTTTCGGATCCAGGTGGCGTACCTCGGGGCGGCTTTGGAACGAAGAATGCGTCCCACCGCGACACAGGAATCAGGTCATGAAGTCTGCTTCTGATTCGAACTCCGATTTCAGCCCCAACATGAGGCCTCTTGGCTGCTTCCACGGCCGTTCGCCGTTCGCCCAACTCGCCCAACTCGCCAAGCCACTCCTCTACGCTGTTGAAACCCAACAGCAGACTGCGGGTCATGGGGTCCGGATCCTGCAAGGCGTCCTGCGCGCAGACCTCGTGGTGGGCACCGCCGGAACCGGAAACCGGAAACCGACCCGGCGGACGGCGGACACGGCGGTGGGTGAATCAACACGACGCACACAAGATGGGTTTCTTTGGGGGGGGCCAACATCTATAATGGATTGAGAGTCCCTATATGGATCCACATACCTTCTCAAAAAGTTTTTTGTACCTTCCAAGCCTACATAAATAGTCTCCAATCATCTTCTCAGAAGGTATGTGGATCCATAGGGAGTAGATGGCACAGACCCCATGGGATGACTTGGGATGACATGGGACATAGATTTGCATGTGATTTCGAAGTGCGGGGAGGCATGTGCAGTTCATGAATCTACTGACATTGTCCACCCGCATTGGCTGGGGCAGAAGTCAACAAAAACACTATAGTCCTGTTACACAGGCACCCTAAACACTCTTTCAAACGCCATGAAACACACACACACATACACACACACACACCCATTCACCAACACCCAACGCACCCAATATCTTTCACTCCACCCAATACGCGCCTCGCGAAGCTCTTTGGCTTTGGCCCGGCCCACCTCTCCCTCCTCGGTCGAGGAACGGTGTTGACTGCAGTTTCGAGGCCAAGCGAAAGTGAGATTCGGGAGCATGAATCGATTCGGCCAATCGAAAGTGAGTCGAGTGACTTGAGGCTCTTTTGTGTTTCTTGCTCATCCAAGGAAGCGTTGGATAAGACAATCGACTTTCGACCCCCTAAACCAAGAGAGGTTGAGAGACCAGGACTACCGTAGATGGACGAAATATTCAAACCCTTTCAACCACGAGGACCCCTCCTACCCCAAAGCTCAATGTTAGAGGTCTTGCAAGAATGTTTCGGCGAATGGACGAAACAAATCAAACCCTGGAAACGCAAATTCAATCAAGTTATGTTCAACATTGACCTTTGGGGGTCAGGGGTTGGCGACAGTTATTGACACATGGGTTTGAATATTTGGTCCATCTACTGTCTAAAGGTGTGACGTTTGCATATTATTGGCTCGTAAGTATCAAGTCTAACATCTTCATCCGTAGTACTCTGTGTTTTAATCTTCTGTGCTCAACAACCTTTCACATCGACACGTTGCGAGCGAGGACAGCAGACGTCAGGAAAGCAAGCCAGATGAAGAGCAGTTCCAGCTACTGTTCTTACTGTTGCCATGTGCCGTGTCTGTTCCCAGTTCCTTTCCAGTGCCTTTCCAGTGCCTTTTCACGGCTTGTGTGCGCCTGCCAGTGATTTTGCCATGTGACTCACTTTTTTGCTAAAAAGAGATAGCTTATCTTTTTGTTTCAACAAAACTTACCAGAAACACATTTTTGCTGGCAGGGCCACGAGAAAGTGCAAAAGGCACTGGAAAAGGCACTGGAAAGGGACTGGGAACAGACACGGCGCATGGCAACAGTAGCTGGAACTGCCCGGCATCACTTGAAAACAACACACGCATGTGCGTCTGTAGGTCTCCGGTCGCCGTCCACACCCAGTACCGTAGATGGACGAAATATTCAAACCCTTTCAACCACGAGGACCCCTCCTACCCCAAAGCTCAATGTTAGAGGTCTTGCAAGAATGTTTCGGCGAATGGACGAAACAAATCAAACCCTGGAAACGCAAATTCAATCAAGTTATTTTCAACATTGACCTTTGGGGGTCAGGGGTTGGCGACAGTTATTGACACATGGGTTTGAATATTTGGTCCATCTACTGTAGGACCCTGTAGTGGTACATATAGGATGGGCTATAGGGCTGTTCAACCTCTCTTGGAACCCAATGATCTGATTCGTATCTTGCGTGAACATGGGACAATTGATTGCAGTTCGCTGAGGGCCCAAGAAGCAACTGCGAAGTGATTGTTGCAGCCGAGCAGCCACCAAATACGCAACAGCCCAGAAGAGACAGCTGTTGTCATTCCTCAAAAAGCGAGAAGGAGAACATGCCTCTTAAACCCTGTCTTCTGCAGGCATTGCTGCTCTCCCAAGAGTGCAGTAAAGCAAGCTATCGGCACCTTCAAATTGACCAAATAAGGATATGTGTCGAAATCAATTCTCGAAACGTACATGTATCAAAACAAACTATGGCAAGAAATCGCCACATATTTCAACACCAAGAAGCTACCTGATGACGGACCACCCCCGACCCCCTTTCGAGTCTGCGAGGCGAGTGTCGGTACGCTGCGACGGACCGGTACCGCCATCGTCTCGGGCGGCCCGGGACAAAGTTGACCCATCCACTACCGCGCCGGCACCGGCGCTGGCCGTTGTGGTCAGCTCGGGTTGTCACGGCAGGTGGAGCCACGGAAGGAGCGGGTGGGGTGGAGCGCAGTTGAGCGGGTTGAGCGCGTGGAAAGTGGACACGGAAGGGATGTGGAAGTGATAAAGGCCAAACACGGAAGTCAAGGACGTGCTCTGGTCGTACTACAAATGAATATCATTCAACTGATATCTTTACTGCAACACACTGAAACTGACACACTAAAATGCTGGTGAAAAATGGGAATACACATGTCGGACATGTCGGAGGGTAAAAACTATTGGTGTTGGAAACCCAAGTCCACAGATACAGTGCCCTATGAGAAGTCTATAGATGGTATATGATGCTATATTCAGAATTGACTGGCCTCCCTATGCCACTGCTACCACATCTTTCGGCTGGCTTGAAAAGTGGCCAGTCCTGGGGAATGAAACCATGACCTCCCCGGCTCCAAACATCCAAGTGAGCCACCCCAGTGAAGAAGCATCAAAAAGACCCACCTCTTCCCAAAGCAGGACCTGTGTGACCAAAGAAGAAGTCCCCCCCTTTTGTCGGAGGTCCGCTTCGGACGTTTGGGTCCCGGCCACTCACAGGTTTCGAAACACCAAGACCAAGTGATGTCGGCTCCTTTTGTCTCTTCGCATCCCGACAGGATGTGGATCCCCACGTGAACCGGGCGCTGACGCAGCGCAGCGCGGACCCGCTGGCCAAGCCCCCGGATCGCTTCTCCGCACAAAGGTCTCGCGATCAGTGCCCCACATGTCCTTCGAGTGATTGATGGCCCTGGAGCCTGACCTAGGACATCCTGACATCCTGACCTAAAAGGACATCCTGACCCTGCAAGTCTAGTAAAGCCTAGCTGCCGCCGGCCTCTGAATGTGGCATCCTATTCTGTGGTGCTTCTGGGGGGCGCGCTTTGTGCTTCACGATCTTTACGGACTAGGATGAGGTAGGCATGCTGGAGCTACACTAGACTGGGTGGACCTGTTTGAGCTTGGGGTTCTGACCAATCATTTAGACATGTTTCGGGCGCATCTGTTTGAAGATACTGGTGCGGTTCAACTGAAGTTGATCTTTGGCTGCGCCTTAGACCTGACTGTGAAGGCTCAATGTCACTCTTGGAAGTCGTCCTTGACGGTCCTACGGCAGAGTAACTGGCATCATTGACTAGCAAGTGCCACCAACTCCCTGTAACTCCAAGTAAAGTCCCTCTTGAAAGGGGGACGATGGATACCCCCAGCGACGGTCTGAGGGTCTGGGTCCTTTTGAAGCAGCAGCGAGTTTCAGTGAGCTGCCAGTGTTTTTTTCTCATGGGAGGCTTTTTCAAGGGCAATGATCCAGCAGCATCCTACAGCCTCAGACTTGGCCTGGCAGAGCAATCGTCGAGCAATGCTACGAGTCAACATAGTAGTTTGTGGCTAAGTTGGCCTGGTTCAAGGAAACCATACTAGGTTCAAAACGTTCCCACCAATTCAAGACGTTCTTTGGTGTAGGGATTGGAACTGAAGGGCTCCTATTTTATACCAAAAGGCGCAGAAGGAACACGTCCCATGGGCCGACCCGGGTCCATGGGATCGACACCTTGGTTAGCCTGTCCGACGTGGCCAATCGTGGCACCCGCGCTTAAACTGAAAACAATCCAAGACATTGGGCGAAGCTCAATGACACACCCCCCCAAAAAAAAACGCACGTGCGCATGGCACATAGCTGTTCATGCCACCTGAAGTTACCATGTCAATGTGTCTCGCTTTCCAGGAAGGCCCATGAGTTCGCGCGCGTTTGCGTGCTTTCGGCTGAGTGAGGTTCCCATGAGGTTCGCAGGCTTCGAGCCAAAGCAGTGCGTCTTTTCTTCCATTCTACGCTGGACCGGTCGCCTGCGACACGAGGGCCTTCGGCCGTCGTTTTCGGTGACAAGGCGTCTTTGGATCCGAAAATGGAACGTGCTGGTGACGAAGAGCAAAGCAAAACTACAGCATCAATACATGTGGCCCACAAACATATCAAAAATGGCAATATAAAGCAATATAAAGCAACTATATATGTGCCCTTCCCTCATGCGTGGTTTACTGGTAAGATGTGATGCAGGGTTATGCCCAGACTGCCATCCCTCATCAGGTTCTACCAGTTGTACCAAGTGGTCTTTCAACGTAATCATCCATCATCCGACCCAAGTCAAATCCGCAATCTCCACACTTGATCAAACCCTTCGCCACATCTCCGATGTTTCTGACGGACGGCTCGGCACGAACTTTCAGCGTGCTCAGCGTGCTTCGGACATGGCAGGGTGGTCGTTGCGAAGGTGAAAGTGATGGTGAAAATGCGAGTGGAGCTGCCTCGGACATCGGCAGTGCTCGCTGGACATCGAACGTGGGCTGGATGGCGCGAGCTAGTGGTTCTTGGTTGGTTGTCTGTAAGAACCGTCAAATGCAAGAACTGGCCGATCTCTTCTCCCATGGAGACACAGGACTCGCCCTCCAGACTTTTGCACGCTCTTCATGTGGTTCCTAAGATGTACCTGCTCCAAAACCGGACATGGGGATTTCTTCTCATTGCTCGTGTTCACATCACATAGATGTCCCAGGAACCGGTCGACAATGGCTCTATTTTCATGTTCACGTCCCTCTTGTTCTCGGATCGGACCATGGCTGACTCCTCATCCGTCAACAAACTTAGGAACCTTCAATCTTCAAGTGTCCAGTAGTGCCAAGTGGAAGGTTCATGAAGATCAAATCACTTTCTATATCACTGGGATTTTTCCAAGCTTGCGCCAGGAAGTCTTCCACTTCAGGCTTTCGTTTTCACCCCAACATTACCTGGGCCATCCTGGGCCCAAGTTAACCACGCACGACTCCCCCAAGCAAAACGGCAACCAGGTCACTCCATGATGGGCATTTCCCAGCTGGCCTCGCTCTTGGAACTCCTTAGGCTCCTTGGCGCGTGTGCATTCCGGACGGACGTGGTGGCACTGGGAAGCTGCCATACTGGAAGGTCGACTCAGTAGCTCGACTCAGGCTAGCATGTTTGTATACTTTTGTATAGTGTGCACGTTTTGCGGATATCCTCCCAAACTCCCAGGTACCCACCATCTATGGTGACCTGGGCCCCGTATGCTTTCGAGTCTGCGCCGGATCGGACGCCGCCGTTCGCCGCGGGGTCAGCGGGTCAGGTTGGGATCACCGACTTCGCCCGTTGGCCTCGCATGTTGCATCCCAACGAACCTGGTGGCCCCATGTGGCCCCAAGATGACTTTGAGATTGGGATCATAAACCACCAAACTTGGGGGGTTGTGCCATCTACTGTGCCCAGTTGCGGCGTCTTCTTCTTTTTCAATGCAAAGTGATCTTTCAACCTCAGCCGCTGAAAGCGCTAAGCAGGGGGTCTGAGGACCACCACTTGGCACACACCTGCACCATAGGAGAGAGATGGAGAGAGTGAACATACAGGGACATGTCCAAGCATATCGCGGATTGAAACAGAGTGGGTTCTGATCCTAAAGGTGTTTGTAAAGAAGGGAAGACAGGTAGGTCACGTGACGCCTCCTAAGGGTCACTTAGGAACCTTCAAAAGGTCACGTACTGAAGAAGCTGGAAACACCTAAACACCACTTCACCGGTCCGACTTGAATCCGCTCGCTGACAAAGCAGCGGCGCCAGCACCAAGGGGTTCAAGTATGGCGACTCCTCGAGCGGTGTCGTGTTGATTCATCTCGATTCACGGTCGACCGTTAAAAGATGTTAAAAGCACGCAGAGAAGGGTTCGGTGCCGTTCCAAGATATCATCACTGATATCATCAGCATCATCAGACTCTGAAGAATCAGAACCGAGTTAGAACCTGATGCTGGACCGGACCGTGCTTTGCTCCTTTGGTGGCTCCAGGTGCTTTGCCCGGATCTTGCGCACAAAGGCTTGGTACTTCGCCTGGAAAATGAGGCGAGGCGAGGCATCTACTCGACGCGGGACCGCGTGCATCCATGCGGTCCATGTGTCTCTTTCTTTTGGGGTAGGCTCTACATGGCTCTACTATACTTTTGGGGATCCACCAAACAAAATAACAATAAGTGGCACACCCCAACATGTCGAACAGCAACTCTGCCCTGGGTGCTGTCGGACAGCAACGGCCTGTGATTCTTTGTGTTTGAGACGTTGTTACCCCAGCTGACTCAGCATCGTGTTCACAATGGTAAAGAAACATGGAGCTTTGTAGATGTGCATCCAAAACTTGGCCTGCACGAGTGGTTTAGCTCCCGAAACGCCCTTTCATTATTCTAGTCCGCACCCAAATGGGATCCCGTGTTGAAAACAACACCTACGGCCGAAACCAACCACAGGGGCATGCGATGGACACACCGCACAATTTAAAAGGACCTGGACAGCGAACTTCTGATTTGTCACCCCACTTTGGCATCTCTGACCACCTATATCACCTATGGCCATCCGTGGCCATCTATCTCCCCCAAACGCGGCGCTTCTCCGTGCTTTTCGACAGAAAATGACCCTTCTATAGGACCCTTTTGGCAAAGGGTTCCCTACTCGCTTGGTGGAGACCAAACAATAACACCACTTTGGAAGGGCCGCCTCACCTCCAAGCCCCGTTGATGTTTCCAGCGCGCCAGAACCCCAAACGCCACGCCACGCACGCGGGCCTCTGGGGAGTCCAAATGCAGCGGCAGTCCGCTCCACCGACCAGGTACCGTGGTGGTACCCACGGTCCCCGCCACGGTGGTGCCCAGGTATCCCTCGCTGCTGGCGCGCGCGGGGCTCGCCTGGGAAAGCGGCATGGAGATGGCCGGGGGAAAAAGGAACGGATTCTTTTGGGGGGGCAATGGAATTATAGAGCTAACATCTAAGAGTGACTTTTTTGTTGACTGTTATTGATTGTTCTGTTCCGAACCTAGGAGTATGCCAAATGCAGGTTCCTCTGGCAGTGCAAGCAGAGTGCTCCCAAGACTGATTCCTCAAACCAAAGCGCTCCCTCCCATACGCCCAGCCGGGGGTCTCTATGGTCGCCCAAGCCACTGAGAAGTCGTAACCTCCTGAGTCAGCATGACTTACCTGGCCGAAGGGGCTGAGGGGCTGATAGTGGGGGCGATCCGTAAATGCATTTCGACCTGGGTGATAGAATCCAACTATGCAAAGACATGCAAAGACTAATTATAGAGTTGGTATTCGACTCAAACACCACTCCCAACTGAGGACTTAGTCTGGTAGGTTTGACAGAAAGATCCTGGTGCAGTAGCAGTATTGAACATAAGGCACCCAACATCAGGACGTCCAGATTCCCAAGACATGTCCACTTCTGTTCATACAAGTCCGTCCTTGCAGGATCCGGGCCGGGCGGGCTCTGAGGGGAAGACGAAGTCTGAAGACCAATCTAAAACCCCTTAGGCTTCCTGGCCCACATCCTGGCCCACCATTGATTGAACGGTCGACCTACCGAACATCCATGGTTTTACTGTTTGACTCATGGCTTCCACACGACACCACCCGGTTCTTTCCCCGGTCGAACGGAAGGCGACCGTGGCCAGGCCCCCGGGTGCGACGAACGGACGGCCTTGCGGAAGTCCAAGGGCGGCAACGACGGCCTCTTGGGGCGCCTGGGTCGAACATCGAGCCCCAAGCCACCAAGCCACATGGGTCCGGAAAGAATTAGATGTCAGAGGCAAACGGAGGGGTAGTGCACAGAAAGGGTTTTGCAAAAGCCTATTCTAAAATCGTGGAAGGTGCGGGACATTCGTAGAACCCAAGGCTATTCGTGGACAGTTCGTGGAATGGTGAGCCAGTAGGAGAACTGACTGCAACGAAATCCCAGAAACCTTCGCAGAACTTCGTGGAAGGTATTTTTGATGCACTAACTTCGTATAAGCGATTTTGCTGACCCCCTTTCTCCACACACCCTCCATTTAGCCGTCGAGATGGACAATACAAGTGATGGTTGTACAAGAGACATAATGGACAATAGATGACAATAGTGACAGTACAAAGTGATTGTTTTGAAATTATATAAACATAATGGATTGGATAATAATAAAGAGCAAGGGAGGGACGTGCTTCTGTGCGTTCCAAGCGTTCATGCCAATTGCCTTGAAGAAAAGGTGGGTGTAACACCTCCTTGCAAACGTTGTTGCCAAGCTGGTGCTCGCCGATGTTCATATGTCAAACGTGAGACCCTGGCTGAATCAGCCGAACATTGGCGTGTAGCATTTTTTGGATATGTCCATCCGATGGCCGACCAAACAAAGGAACGTCATATGCTTGATCCGATGGTGGCCCTGATCCGATGGCAGCCTCTGGCGAGCGATCGTCCAACAATTCTGCTTGGGATCTCCTGGGCATAAACTCAAGGTCGCCTTTTGTAGCTGCCTCACTACTCAACTAGATTCAAACAATTTCAAACAGTAGATCAATGGCTGTAGAACTCCGACAGTCCCTGAAGTTGTATCAGTTGTGTCGATACTTCATCAGCTCATCCGAGACCATAAAGAAAGGGGCCAAGTCAAACATGTCCGATTGCTATGCGTGTCCAATTTCTGGAAACACATCCACTGGATGGTGCTTGAAACATGTGGAAACCCTCCCCAACATACCGTATTTTGCAGTCATTCCCAGAAATAGCTGGATTTTTGTTGTCAAAGAAAACATCCACCCGCCTTCCACTCCCTCTTTCCACCCAGCTCCACATGATGTGGAGGATCAGCTCCCAATGGCAGCCCATCTCTCTCCACATCAGCCAAAGAACACATCCACCCGCCCCCCACCCAGCTCCACATCATCCACACCAGCTCCACATCAGCCCAGGGCACAGGTGCTCAAAGGCTTTGGCGAAGGCCGCCGGGCTCATCGCCTTGGAGCGCCCGAAGATCTGCGACTCCTGGACCGACGCCGGGTGCACCGTTGGCCGTTGAGACCGTGTATCGTCTTTTTGGACGGAAAAGGATCGAAGTACGAAAAAGGAACACCAAAAGTCAACCAAATTGGGAAGCTCATGAAGCTCAAAGTACAGTACCAGTACCAGTACCGGACGGTCGCCATATTGACTGCCTGCACACGGTATATTCATGCTTATTTTGGGTTCATCCCTGCACTCCTGGTCCATCATCCGCCGCACGCGTGTCACCCAAGCACCTTCCTGCGAGGGGTGCGGACAGTCAAACCCACTGTCCCACAGCCGAAAGCGCAACAGTCAAAGAACTGAATTCAACATGACCATCAAGGTGAGCTGACTCCGAGCTGTCTCAAATCCCTGTCTTCTGGTGAGCTGACCCCGAGAAAATGCCACAACCCCCGCCCCTCCCCAAAAAGCACATCTTCTGGAATGGAATCGGTCTATTGCAAACCACCGGCACATTTGAATTGCCTAAATGGAACCCTAAAATTACGGACGGATTCCAAGCCCTCCCAAACCGTGATCCACTTCGTCTCAGCAGCGGAAGAAAAAACCACTCGCGTGCGTCCAATGCAAGGGTCGTCGGCGGACCGGCTCCGCGTTAACAGGTGGACAGGTCACAGAACGCCTCCTCAGTTCTTGGATTATTTGCGGACCTACTAGGGGCTCCTGGCATCGCTACGAACGGAGCAAGGTCGCCCCCCTGGCCTGGTCTTTCTCGCTCAGCAGTTCTTGTGGCGGATCTGGCAAGGGAACGGGGGGGCGAAACGGGCGGATGACGTCATGTCGAGATTCGGTTTGAGCGGGGGCGGAAACCAAACGGGGCATGATACGCACATGCCGGTGTCATTCATGTGCGCAAAGGTTCGCATGGATATCACAAATAATGTGGATTGATCTGTCAGGCCTTGAGTCTTGGGTAATTACATCAATTTGTGTTTGTGGGTGATTGCAACTGCGGTTGAGCCAAGTGAAGGGCAAGATGTTATCATCTCAGAATCTCATATCACCTTGTTGGACAGGTTTGCCATTGTTCTACTCACCACTTCCCCCTTACCAACTGCCAACAAACTTTGAGGCATGCCCAGTACACACCACGTCTAGGATTTGATCCAAGTCTCTGTCCAAATGAACAGAGTCCTCTATGAGGGATGTCAACTTGTCAACTATCCATGGTGTGGTGGGGGAGGTAGATCAACTCACAGCCAAAGATCAACACGGCTCCAACTATAGATTCACATAGATTCACTGCTCAATCTTTTCAGTCTATTGGGTATATCCCATGATCCCAGGGCCGTGGATGATGACGAGGTTTCAGGCCGACATCTCACAACATTGTGACACTCTTTTACCGTTACTATCCGTTACTGGGGCACACCTTCTCATTATCATTCAATATCTGCATGTAACAAATCACCACTTGCCCTCCTCCATGGCTTCGACGAACTTCGCTCTAAAACATCGCCTGTCTTCTCTGCCGGCTTCGCCTGTCTTACGCACGCAGGGGGGGGGGTCCATGCCGGGCACTGGGCGCATACGCATGCGAGGCCGGGTGACCTGTCCCTCCGGTTTGAGGTCACTTAGGCCTGTAAAAGGTCATTGGAAGAAGCAATTGGTAAGGGCTTTGCAGGCGCTTTGCAGGCGTCTTGTGACCTTTCCACCTGCAGTGATGCCTGCCCCATCAAGAGTGGCAAAACCTGCTGGGTTCTCCAAGCTTGGCCAAACTCCAAGCTCAGAAACACTCACTTTCCTGCTGAAGGAAATATGGAACAAGTTCTCTTCAGGAACCCAGGCCGGGCATGTTTCTTGGAGCTCAATAAAGGGTTCCACACGACCTGATGATGTTGGAAAAACAATGGATTTCCTCAAATTGATTGAGCACGAGGCCAATTTCTGGCTATCTAGCCGCAAATCTGTCCTCATGTCCGTGGAAAAATATGTGTTCTGCGTGTTGTAGTTCTTTCATCCTTTGTTTGATCAGCACGTGTTGTAGTTCCCCCCCACGCGTCCGGTTGGGCGCCGGTTGGGCGCCTCCGCGTGGAGTGCACTCTCCTCCGTCTGCACAGAGGTCTCTTGGAGCTCAGGACCGGGAACCTGCGAGGCATCCAACCGGTGGTGGGCTTCTACCGTCTACCGGTCGATCCACTGCACCAACCCACCCAGCGGTTGATCGACCCACCCTCATCTAATGACCATACAGGTACCAAGAATTTACAGTAAACCAACCAAACCAAACCATGTTCATCCATGTTCCAAGTGCTTTCGAAAGTACATCGCATCATCCAGATGTTCATCCCGTTGGCAGGGTTCCAAGTTTTTGGCCTTCGTTTTGGACCCCAAAACGTTCGTGCCGATGCCGAGACCTGCACCCTTCAAGATGATGGAGACGTGACTGTCCAGTTTAGGCCTGCTCTCTTGCACCAAGTGGAGCTAGACATAGCTAGCTAGATGGTCTTTGGGGGGACTCTCTGCAGATCCGTACGGATCCTTTCAGCAACCCACTGTAAGAGTCAACATGACTACCATGCATAGATTTTGGAACACCAACCCCCCCTAGCAAGCTGGCTGGTCCTGGTCCACGTAACTATAAGTAAAACCCATATTCTGCATCCTGCCAAAACCCGAAAACCGATGTTCTCGTCTTGGCATTTCCATGCAGTTCTCCACTTACGGGAACTTTCTCTGGCCTATTATGCACTGGTTCTAGGCTTCGCATACGGAATGCAGCCTTTGCAGGATTCGATCCCGGAAGGCGAGCTGGAAGGCCTTGTGATACCGGGCATGTCAGCTTAGCCCCTTTGAGCTTTTGGGCTCCGAAGCCATCTCCGGATGTCCTCACCTCTGTTTGTGTGGCAGCCGTGCACTGCTCCGCCGGCTCCGCCCTTGGAAGGCGAGCTTTGCGGGGAAATGATCCCCGGCTGTGGAGGGGTTCTGTTGACACCCAATATCCCTGGGAGTCAAAGACTATAACAAGAATGGTCTTTAGGGGACCTGAAAGGGAACTTCCTTTACTTCAGCCGCTCAAAATATAGTCGAACTGGACTTCTAGGGATATATTATATAGTCAGTCCATAGACTCCATGGAATATATGTGTTGGACCCCCCAATCAACCACCCCAACTGATCGGCACTATATGGCAGTTCCATGGAGACATGAAGCGTCTGGCACTTTCCTAACTTCGATTCGTTAAGGGAAAAGGATGGTCATTGAGTTGGACAAGGATTCTTGCCCTACTAGCTTCACTTCTGCTGAAGAAAAAAGTATATGCAGTATGAAAAACGGTGTACTTTATTAGACAGTCATGAGTCATGTGATATCATGAGTATATTCAAAAAACGCCAAGTTCAGGTGAATAAAGCTTTTACGGACATCTTCATTTTCTCCTAGCCATGGCTACTCCCAAGATTCCTCTGCTGGTGAGCGAGTCCAACCTTCCAACCTTCCGCGCCGAGCGGCGGCGCTTCCTCCGTTTGACTCGCGCGGGACAGAGTAGCCACCGGAGCAGAGTGCGAGAAGGTGGCCTCCTCCTGGTCTGGTACCCTCCTCCTGGTCTGGTACCCTCCTCCTGGTCTGGTACCGGCACTTGTCCACACGTTGTCAAGCCGAGAACTTGTGACGTGTGAAACGAAGGGGACACGTGGCTTCGATCCAACCGAGTTGGTGGCACCGGGGAAGCAAGGTGAAGGTGGATGTATGATCAAAGTCCAAGCAGGATTGGATCAGCCAAACACCTGGAAGGCACATGAAGTCTTCAAGTTGATCAAACCGTGCCAGCCATGAGGTGGTCCTGTGCTTGGACTGAACTCAGATTGAACTTACTACCCCAGTAGTGTGAAATAGCGACTTGGGCACATGTTTTCGCCACACGTTGGCCTTCTCCGGCCTTCGTTCGCCCCACCCAACTCCCTGAAATAAACACCACTCCGGCCCACCCTCCAAGGCACCCCTTTTCGAACGCCGTCCCTCAGGGATGGCGAACATTCCACATGGCGAACATCTTTGGATCGCCCAAAAACGACGCGTTTGGGCCCGCAGAGTGGGTGCTTCTGGCTGAAAAAATGGGTTTGGACGGCCTAGATGCCGCATAGATGCCGACCAAACGGCCTCCAAACGGTTCTCTTGGTGCAAATTGGCGGTGACTTCCAGTGAGGCAACATGACTATTTGGAGGACCACTTGTAGGACCGCCCATGGTTCACTCATCCACTCCCAGTTGGGCTAGCGGCTACCTCACCCGGCCAGGCTCATTAACTCAGGCGCATCCCAGTTCGTGGGAGCTGCCGATCTTCGGGCTAATCTGCGGCAATCCCATCGTCTGGGGATCCATGTCCCCGCTTCGTTGCCCAGGCACGAGGCCGGAATGAGTGACCGGCACGAGACACGTCCACGAGGAGAAAGAAGGTGGGTCAATTCATTTGGTATCCCAACCAATTGCCCCAGTCCGCGATTTGTGACTATTAATGTGGACATGGACACCTCCACTGAATCACAGCAAATACTTCGCTCAGCGTGGCCGCTCCTCTGCCCGGTCTCGCGCGGCCGTTCGGACTCCAGCCGGCTGGTGAATTGCAGGCTATCTCCAGGACTCCTGAGGAAATCCTGGACGTCTCCCTGGAATCCGCCCATAGACATTGCTCAGCTCGGGCTCGTAGGAGGCCGGGCCGGGACCACCACGGCGCAGCCCGGTCCAACGAGGGGAATACGGGTTCGTCCTTGGACGTTGAGGTAGGGGTCGGGAGGGGACTCGGCAGCTGGGGGGGGTGGACTCAAGAGATGGAACCCAGGTTGGATCACAGGTTGGAGCATGAAACCTTCTGAACCCAAGACACTTCATCTTGAGAAGCTTGAAGATTGGTCAATACTTACCTTTCCACCCTTTCCTTGGACTTTCCCAGCCCTTTCTCCACCCTGGCCCACCACCAGCAGCCGCATCCAGCTGCATCCACGATCTTCACCAAGCGTCTGGCGCCGATGCCCAGCCGTCCACCAAGGCCCGCCCAAGGTACTGGGCAATTCTCCTGCACTGTTGGGAAAGGTTCGGGGGTAGAAGATTGCCTCATCCATTCATCCAACTAACATCAACTAATCATGGTGGATCAAGGGTGCTAGCATGTGGTTCAGGGGTGGAAGCTTCAGCAAGGCGCTCTCCGCCTTCAAAGGGCCTAGACCAGGTCTACGCCCCTACTTTTTTGGCTGTGCGGCCGTGCTGGGGTTTCCCACGTGGCAGGTCCCGGAGCTGCAACGAGTTTGGTCTTCTGAGAGTTTCGATGCTGCAAATCGGCACCACTTTAAGGCAATTCACAATTCTCTCTTGATCAAAGGGCAGCAGTTGACGTTCCTTTCAGCGATGTGTCTTGGAATCTTTTTTCTGGGCCACAAGCCTGCCGTCGACATACAGCTCGCAAACTGTTCATGGGGCTTTGCACTTGAAGTTTCATGAAGTTTCTGCGTGTTGCTGTCTTACTTCTAGCGCAATTTGTGGGTCCAGCGCACTGCAAGGCTTGTCAGTCCGGGCCACAAAGGCCCCTAGGGGAGGAACGAACAGCTCGGCCAGATCTGAGGAACGCGCAGTTGGGTTTTGAGGCATCACGGAGTCTCCAAGGTTGTTCATGTTATATATAGTGCTCACGAGTTTCGTTTTT